AGAGAAGCCTGTTGAATATGACGCGAGATGAACTTGCACACATACCGAAAGGGGTACTCATATGCTGCACGCCAAATGAAATAGCACATGTACGGAATAAACTAACTACCGGAACATTTGAAGGAGGACGCTGATATACAGCGATTCCAATTCTGCTGGGAACACCGTGGAATAAGCGGGAGTGATGATGAAGCAGATGGACCGTCACCAAGAAAAATATTTTGTTGTTACTGTAACATGCAAGATATCAATGTTAAAAATACATCTGAATCAAACAACTGTTGTAACCAATAAATATTTGGTTACCTGTATAAAACCATGTTTTCATTCATCAACTCTTCAGTCATGTCTAACACATTTACTCTAACGGGTTACACTAGCAAACTGTCTGCTAATTTTTATCCACCAATCGAGTTGAATATAAGTGTGGAATACGGTCTGGGCTTGATTGGCTTTTATTCATACAACACCGTATACAATACTGATGATCAACATAATAAAATATCTCTTACTCACGAGGGTGACGAGAGTAATGTGGTAACCCTTCCTGAAGGTGTTTATGAAATCTAAGATATCAATAAATACATACAACATGAAATAATATCAATGAATGATACATATAAAGAGAGATATGAAAACAAAGTTGATGAAATGTTCTCTTTGAAAGCCAACACTAATACTTTGAAGTGTGAACTCCATTCTGTATTCGATATTGCTCTGTCCAATTCCATGGCAACTACGCTTGGACTTAAGAACAAAATTCTTCCCAGAAACAAAATCTACACAACGAATTTACCTGTAAACATCTGGATAATAAGAGTGGACTGTGGATTAATATCAGGAGCTTATTGCAATGGCAATGAAATGCACACTTTGTATGAGTTTGATATAGACGTTGAACCGGGATTTAAATTAACAAAGGAGCCTCAGAATGTAATATATATGAGCGTTAAACTGCGTGGACGCCAGTTTATTGATAGGAAATTTTGGATGACGTTGGGAATTTGGTCTACTTTGGTGTCAAATTAGAACTGCGACGCCTGTCTAGTGCCAGCTGAAGACGATGGAAGTTTTTAGTGGTAGGATACCCCTAAAATATATAATTGGATTCGCAGAAGACTACAAAAAAGCGGTTCTAAATATAAAACAAGAGCTTTTGTTGGTTATTGCAAGATCCTTCAAAAACTGTTATGTAGGTGAATGTGTAGCTGAATTGACTATATCCAACACATCGCTCCGGAAGATCGTTACAAAGTCAAGCTTCTGCAAAGGTTAAATAAACATGTGAGCTCAAGGATCAAGGTAGCATTTCGATCTTGGGATCTCTATGAGCTTCCATCTCTTCGTTCTATATCATCGGATGTTTGGGCAATTAGAACAACCAGTGAACCAGAGAGTCCTCTATTCGTTATCATTGGATTTCAAAATTCTACATTTGAAGAAAATCATTCGATGGATATAACGAAATTCATAAATGCCAACGTTAACTCGATTCGCTTGAAGTTGAACAACCAAGTATTCCCATATGAAAGGTGGAATTTGGATTTAGAAAAAAAGCTCAACACTGCAGCTTATTATGCATTTGAGAACTTTCAAAAAACATACTACAACCGGAACATTCCTGAACCTATGATGGATATTAAAGAATTTAATGACAATCCGCTTTTCGTTATTGATTGCAGTCATCAGCTTGATCATCTCCAACTTTCAACTGTCGTCATATCTTTGGAATTTGAGACCAGGAAATCTGCATTTCCATTCCACACCAAGGTGTATGCATTAGTTATTCATGACTCATGCTTCAGTTACAATGCTTTTGATGGGTCTATCCAAAATGGACTTATTAATTCCTATTAAATGTTTTAAGTTTTAAGTGTGAAATAAAACTCATTTTCTTACTACATGTTGATTTTATTTACCTGTACAAGCTTGACGTAACCTAAATCTAATACTTACAAACTTCCTTTAACATTAATTTTATTAATAAGTCTAAATTACCATTTTCAGTGTGCCTTCTGCAATATCATTGATTGCACCTATAGCATATTTAATATTGAACGAGGGGTCAGTCTGGTAAAACTCAATGTCACAGTGTCCCCAAGGTAAAGTTTTTGTGGTGTTAGGAAGAATAAACCTTTTATCATCATCATGTGCTAGAACAACCTTATTTTTCACCTCGGGGTACACATCATGTAGTTTGCTTTTAAAAGTGTGTATCTTTTTCAATATCCGCCCACTTACTTCGATTATTCTCTTATAGTCATCCTCAGACAGCTGCATCTGTATATTGAATTCATTGTTCTGCTTATAATTTGATGTGACAAATTCATTGAACATTCAACCATATCCTCCATCGATTCATTTCTATTATCCGACACGTTGCTGATAGCGGTAGAAGCGCTGAGAGGTTTTTACAATTGCTTAACACAGGCCTCTCCAACTTGGGTGCCACAAGGGCAGCGCCGAGCACGGGAGCACCGCTCGCCCATTTCCAGCGTCAATTGACGCTCGGTATTTTGGATGTCCGATTTCATTAGCATTATACTTTCTATGAAAGCGTTTATACCTGTCCGACTGTTCGCCTGCTTGGTGGGGCAGCAGCATACACATCGGACAATGCGATAAAAGTTTTATGGTAGCCGTAGCGCTCGGCGAATAGAAATGGTGCGAAAGCTGGTCACACTGAATCTACCTTCATCGTGGATTCGACTAAATTTACCAATAATATGTAGTTTTTGTGTAAATGAACAAGAAGAGCTCGATATGACGGGGCTCATCCTATCATACCGACTTGAAGATAAAGCGTGAAAGAAGAATGTCACCGTCTTGGTGGAATCCAATGAAGCCTACATAAGTTTGAATGAAATTTTAGGCTGATTTAAAAAAACTTGAAATGAAAAACTTATTTCCGCCAGCAGCTCCTATCGTACCAACTGCTGAAAGCTAGAGCAGTCAATGCAAATAGGTATAGATAAAAATAATACCCCAGTTCGTATGCTTTATGTTTGCATTCAAGAGCTCGTTCGAGTTTGTCAGTATGACACATGGCTACTAGATGTTTGAAAGTATACGTAAAATGAATATGACATACGTATAAGTTATAGTAGAATCCTACCGTCACGTTGTATCTTCAAGTCCGTATAAGAGGTACTTTCAGCAGGATCCACACCAAGCATATCAAGCCCTTTTATTCATTTACTTAAAGAATACATATTATTATCGAGTCTAGTCGAATCCGCGAATTCTGTGTATCGCCTCTATGAAAACATCTGACTATGATTCCCTCTTCAGAACATTGAAGGGCTGACCTCAGTTCATCAATCCGTACTCATCTTTCATCGTCAGTACTGTCATCATAATCGGTAGAATGTTTGTCTACATAATGTCGGTGAATACTATGATTTAACGTTAACTATGGTGTGGCAAATTAAACATTGTGCTTTCCATCAGTATACACAAAAAAACTCTTCTTCCCATACAGAATTGAATGAGAAGGTTTAAAAAAAATACGCGTGTTAAGAACACTTTGTCTTGTCCTATTAAGAAATGGCCTGCGGCCGGAGGATAGTCCGATATATTTTGCTTTCAGTCGCGACGGCTGTGCGGTCCAGGAGGAGGGGGAAACTTCAGTGGACCTCTCCACAAAACGTCCGCCGAAACATTTCTATTGAACGAGACGTTTTCGATGGTATGAGGATGGTCATTGAGAGGAATCGGAACTTAAACACCCCCCCTTACCCCACCACCCCTTACCACACCGAACCATCATGGGTTCGTCGAGCTATTTACCTGAGCAGAGTTAGATTACGTTACTGCACAGGTGCATACAAGAGTTCAGTTAGTCTATAAAAAATACTGTCACTGTCAACATTTCTATTATACCCAACCGATAATAGGTTTTAGAATTAGCATGCCCATTGAGAGTCGACTCTCTTCTATTATACGTATACAATAGGTTATTGATCGGGGACCGAAGCGTGAAGAGGTTTTACAATTAGAATGGTCATTTAGAGGGCGGGAATGCCTTCCATCGAGCTACTTATATGACACAAATTTGTCGAACAACACGTTTTCGATGCTAAGAGGATTGTCATTGAAAGGAGTCGGAATTTAAACACCCCCCGCCCCTTACCCCTCCACACAAACCACCCCTTCACTACCCCCGGGAGGTTTTATAAATGGCACTTACATACTGCTGGACGCGCGTACACTTTTTATTTCGACGTCCTGAGTTCGGTGATAGGATGGTCGATTTCGAAGTTGTGACGTTCACCGAATAAATTTTTGAAATTTATGCGTTTAAGTAGGATAGTAGGATGCAGTAATTTCTCTTCAGCCGCTTACCGATTGACTGGATAATTGAGGTATAAATAGGTAAATATTATATTTGCATTTAGAATTGAAACAACGATAAAAAACCTTCAGCTGCAGTGGCAATGATAAGAATATATTACAGGATGTAGAAACCCAATGAGTCATCAAAAGAATCGTTTTCGAGGCTCCACGTTATTTTCATAATTATCCTCGCAAATCAGTTTGATCACCGGTAGTTGTTAATCTACGACCATGACAAGAGATTTAGCAGTTCTTGAGCCGCGTCTATACGTTGGACTGACCTACGCCAACGCAAATATGTAAAGAATAGACAATGGGCGATGGTGATAAGCATTTGACGATGTCTTCTCTGCACACTCGCTGAGGAAACCAATAATAATGCTCATTGATCTAGTCCTAGTCTCAATGTATCGGTGTACGTTAGCTTGACGTGTAGACACGGCAGTATGCTCTGCTGTTCAACTTACCTGCACAGGACTTCACACCTTTTTTGTGGGGTTCAGGGATTTTTTACGTTTCCAATTACATATTGATAATGGAAGGCCTGTAAGTATGTGTGTGCATGTCAGAGTTGAAATTAAACATTATTCCCCTATATTTCAATCGAGATAAGAAATTATGTACAAACCATTAATTGAAAGTTCCATCAATTTTGTATATTTTCTGTTTTGATAGAGTATAACAAATTATTTTTGTATTCAAATATGTTTGTATTACATTTGTTACTTTACATTTCATACATATAGTTGTACAAAAACCCTCACTTGAGCCAATGAAACCTACAATAGCATGTAAGTGGAATTGAAAGTATATACGGCTCAATGTTATATCCACCCCAATCTATTACAAGTAGGATAAATCATTGAAGATCAAAGTCATTAAAGTCGTAGTCGACGTCATCTTCGATAATTTCCTCGTCATCGGTCGTTAAGTAATCATTATCGGGTTCTACGGTAGTTTGTCCACCGTCCTCCTCACATGCATCTGTAGTCGTCGGAGTTTCGCTACCATGGGGTTCTGTAGCAGTCCGTCTCTTTGAGTTGTTGCACGATTTTCCGCGGGATACTTTGCAAGCCGAGTTGCTCTTTAGACCGGCTTCTCGGCAGTGACTCGCTTCGATTTGCATCCACAGGAAACCTGAAAAAAGGTTATTATAAGAATTATTATAATCTAAATATCAGTAGTCTTGTAAGGGAAATCAATGACAGGCCTTTTATAATACTCCAAAAATTTGTTATTTTGACTTGAAACTGGATCTCACATTTTTCAAAAATTATTTTAATTCCGATCAGACAGTACATGAGATCAAAAGCGTAGTAAAAAATTAGCTGTAGCAAGTTGTATTTAGTGCTTCAAATTGAATACATTTCACACATACCTCTGGTAACAGTTCTTTTGGTGCGGGATCTGCTTCAGACATGATCGGAATGAGAATATTACCCTGTCTTGTCCATCCCCACAAGCAGGGATCCAATCTGTGCTGAAGCAAGGCAGGAGATGTTGGTGGGAGACATTCTAGGGGCCTTTCCTTTTTTGCGTTTGATAAGTTTGTAGAAAACAAATTGTATTTGAAGGTCCCGAGAGAAGAAGACTGTTCTTTGTTTTTGTATAATGCGAGAGTAATAGTCTCTGTACATTGCAACAATTCCTCTTCCAAGCAGTCCGGCTTGTAAAACTTCAGAGCCAGCGTTGTAATGGTGTCGTTCTGCAGCAGCAAGTTCACCAGTTTCATCTTCCCTTTCCCAAAAAAGCAGTAAGTACTGTCGCAGCCCGCAAACGCATGAGCGAAAATAATAAATGGTTGCAAATGTTTGTGATCCCGTGTATCGTACATTGATTCGCCTTGCCCCCCTGGCCCATCTTGTAATAGTACATAATAATAAGTAATATTAAGAGATCAACATCCGAGCCGACGACTATAACTCGTGATTTCCCGTGACGAAACAGTTCGTTATGAGTCTTCAGAGCTGTTCTCATAATCTCAACATCCGCATCTTCTTTCGCACGGATCACTGTAAAATTGAATCCCTCATATGTTGCAAGAGTTTGACCGAGATGATAAACAAATTGAGCCTTGTTTTTCACGTTGGACAAAAATTTTCTTTGGTTCAATGGGAGGAAATTGTCTGGTTCAATTTCAACGTCCACGCCACAATTTCTTTCTTGTCTACGGTCTCGCTCGTATGATTTGACACCTTTATGTTCATCTTCATATCCGTCAAAGACAATAATGACGCTTCGACCAAACCGCTTAACAAGAAAGTTCTTGTACATGTACTATGAGGCCAAACGAGGCTGGAAGCAACCACCCTCCGACTACAACAAACTGAGAATCTTCAAAAAAAGCTCGCGAGGATAGGGTAGTAGTGAGCATTTTATATAACTGTTACTTGTCGGTCTTTCGCATTGATCCTTTCTCGTCGAACAAACTAAGAGCCTTCGCACACTACGTCATATCGTAATCGTATCGTAATACGCGAGTAGGACGAGGGCAAAACGAGCTCGTATGTGTGCTAACACGTCCGCGCACGAAGCGGTCTGGCGTAAGGCAGGCGTAGAAGCAAGCGTAAAATTTATTATCATCTTCTGAAAGTCCACGTGCAGCAATAAACAATCTTTTCTTTTTATTACTTGCAATGTATGGATGGGTCCAATGAGCACGTTGCCTTCTAATCAAACAATAAAAAATCCTCTTCGTTTGTACAAAGCGATACGAGTACGTGACGATACGCTTACGAAACGACTACGCTTACGATGCGTGTGCGAAGGCCCTAAGTGGAACAGGAGACATTTCGTAGTCGAAGCAAGATTTACTCAACTCTTTCCTTCCACGTTTAGCCACAGACAGACGTTGAAATAATAGAATAGAGACACTGGCGCTCCCACGAGGAGAGGGAGGTAAAGGAGGTAATTACCCCCCCCCCCCAGACGACTCGAGCAGTCTTTGAAAAGGTGGTATAAAGTAAACGTCTTATAAAAAAATCTGTAACTTTAAGAAAGGATAGCGGCAATACTGCCAACCCCCTCAGTGCGCATGCGACTAGCGACTACTCTCCCACCAACAGTAACGGTGTGCGCTTCTTCCTGTTGGAACATGTATAGTCTAGTCTTTTATGGTCTAGTCTAGTGTCTAAATTCTGTACCAGTCCGGAGTCAGCAACAAAATTTGGCTGAGAAGTGAACAAGCAGAGTTTTGTTGATCTGGTTGGTATTAACGCTATTTTCTATGTTCTATTGATTTTTTATTTTCCACGCATGAGCCAGAAAATAAATTTTTTGGTTTTAATTTTTATGCTATAAAAGAATCGTGTCAAAAAAAATGACAGACGAAAAAATGGAAATTTAATATAATTTCAATTACGATGTATTTGGTCCATACTACAGCTATCATTATCATCTATGTCTATTTTGTCTCGGAAGTCCCATGAAAAATTTAACTTATTGAGGTGTGCAATAATCCCTAATGACTATTTCAAATATCCCTATTCCACACACTTGAAAAATAATAAAGAAGTGAAATGTACTTATCAAAAAAGAAATCTTGAATATAGTTTTAAGTCGCGTCAGGCAAAGTCACTGTTACAGTATTTTATTTGACGAAACTACAGACGTTAGCCATAAATCGCAAATGTCAATCGTATTGCGGTATTGTTATGAAAAACGTATTTACGAGGACTTCATGGGATTTGTAGATTGCTACTCAAATGTTGATGAAGATACAAGGGAGCCCAAACCCACAAGTCAAATTCTTGCTCAAACAGTCAAGCATTTCATTGAAACCAATAACTTAAACTCAAAACTGTGTGGGCATTGGTACTGATACTTGTAACCTAATGTTAGGTGAACAAAAGGGAGCTGTAATGGAATTGCAAAAATGTTTGCCAAATGCTCTAAAAAGCCCATGCTCAAATCATGCCTTGAATCTTTCGCCTTGTATCTGCCCCTCTGTGAAAGTTGATGGGTCTGCTGACACATTAAAAACATGATGACTTTTGAAGCATACACGTATATCTTTCCCCCCCATTATACTGCACTCAACTTTCTCACCGTAACGTTTTTTAATGTGATCTGCTACAGTCCTTTTATCTATAGAGTCATCATTCACAAGTTCTACTAACTTCGACAAATAATGAATAACATTTTTGTCCTCTTCAAGAACTTGCCACACAGGCTCTAACAATGAATCGATTCTAGATCAGTTTAGATCTTCAATATTTTTGTTAAACCATGCGCATTGAAATGAGACATGCATGTCCGGTGATATCTGTCTTGTACGCGAATTAAGCAAATGTTTTGTAATCTTTCAACAACGCTAATTCCCAAAGAGTAATTTCTTTCCTTTCCCATTGCAATCAAATTATCACGCGTCTCTTTTTGTGGTGCTGCACAGATTTTTGTTTTCGCACCTTTTATTATACTCAAGCCACAAATGAAGCAATTATCCGCGTAATGGAAATCAGGAACCTCATCGCTCGAAGCTAATTTGTAATTGTTATCGGGTACATTCAACGCAAAATGCTGAGTATACGTTCCACTGCCCGAGTCTGAAAGTTTACACTTCTCATGACAATCCAGTTTTTCCTTTTTTTCTCAATCCAACCATTTTTGTCTTCCACGCGTTTGCTCTGTGTGATTCCCTTCTTCCCCACGGTCCTGCAATTGCCGAGCGCCAACGGATAACTGCAAATGGCGCAGTAACTATTTTGCTGCATTTTATTCCTACTGAATAACAGAAACAATTTCAGTGAGAATCGGTTTCCAGTAAGTGTAATGTAATTTTCGATCCAGTCAGTCTAATAGGTCTGACTTTTGTTATTAATACCAGAACATAGTGCGAATGGAATTGGAAAACATACTAAATTTTGGACAACATATACTGAATTTGGACTGTACTACTTGTTACTAAAAAATACAATACTAACATGGGAAAATGAAAACAAATTTCGTTAAAAAATCCATCGCGGATAACTTTTCGAATTGTAGGTTGGCTTTGTCCATAATTTCTTGTCTCCAATGAAATTACGGAAAAGATATTTAACTTCAATTCTAAAATGTACACACACTTACCTCACTTATCCAGTCAATCGACAAACAATTCAAGAGAAATTACTCCACACAATTAGTTCTTTCGGAAAAGTCGGTGAACGCCAAACTGACAAGCGAGCTCAGAGTTCGAAATTCAACTGGACCATTAGTGAATAAACCCCACCATATAGTAAGAGATCGTCTGCGTCGTCAACGCGTGGACGTTGCGGCGGCAGGTTGGTGGTATACAGGTACGCCGCCCCTGTCCGCTCAAACCTCTCGCCCAAAAGCCATCAGCAAGCTGTACCGCGAAAACTAAACAATTTAGCAAAACATTTGCAGAGACCTTTTTGTTGATGGCCCAAACATAAGAAAAATTTACGTGTAAAAAAATCCCAGATATCCTCAGCCGTTTCAGCGAAAACGAGGTTTTTTGGGTTTTTCGCTGTTTTACGGAAAACCAAATTCATACAACAATATTCGCAATCCGTTATTACACCATTACGCTAGCGGAAATAACTTTGTGGCTATGTTATCACTTTTGTCTCAGTTTCGGCTATTTAACTGGACTTATATGCTTCATTGACATTACTGCACGCGACACGACAGGAGAGTTGTTTAATGTTGTTTTGGAAACAAATTTAGGATCAACGGTATTAACTAAGGTAGAGTATTTTAAACACAAAAACTGCGCTAGTTTTATCAGAAGAAAACACTATATCTCTGAGCCACAGAAGCAAAGCGAATCTCAGGCTTTGGATTCTCCCATCACTAGTGTGATGAAGTGACAATTTGTTCCTCCTTGGATTACATGAAATAGTGATATGCTTTCTAGTTCGTTTCATTAAGTTGCGTTCACTTCTAGGAACTGGTTCGTGAACAAACTACTTTATGCAGCAATAAAACAACAACAAAAATGTATGTACAGAAACAGAGCAGATATCCCAGTCTCTCAGTCGAGATAACCTAAAAACGATTCAATTCATATTTTTTAACCGTTCCAATGCTTTCCACTGATTGCAAATGTATTCTCCCATCACTAACATTGTGAGACACTAATTTCAAATGTCAATTCTTCTTTGGTCTATTCTCCTTCTCCAACGTTACTGTAGTCGATCTTTTGTTGTTTTAAGCTTGTGTTATTTATGAAAAATGGATTTTCTGTATAAAAAGTGCTCCCTCCAAGTTCTTTCTTCTGCAGACTTACATATTACACTGTCGTGTACACCTTAAATCTGTACTAACCCCCAAATAGGTAGTTATGTTGAGTGTACCATGTACCATCACCGATGGGGCGACTGATTAAACACTGAAATCAAAACAAAAAACTGCAACTGCAATTGTATGTGTGAATCTTGAAATCTTAAACATTTTCGGACCAGTGGTGTCAAAATGTCGTTGAAGAATTGGAAAGAAGTGTACGAATGT